GAATCAATTTATTACTTGATTTATTTAGATAGAATTTTGTTAGTTCTAATTATTTTTAAGCTATATTAGATGTGAATCAAATATCATTTATTCAACATTTTATTATATTTAAAGAACGAATAATGATTTTGATTTATGATAATTTTTGAAACATTTTTACCATATCTGTTTTAATTTCTATTTAAATCTCTTACTAATAATCCATAATCCATTAAGGCTAAGTAGTTATCAAATTTCATTTTATAATCATTTCAATCTTATGTGTATAGTTTTATATATATATTTTGCCAATTTATTGATAGCAGTAGGAAAAGCTTATTCAAGGTTAAATTCTTTCAAAATATTAATAATTTAATTTTTCCTTGATTAATAAAAAAAGTATTATTAGATCTTAGATTAAATCTAGACTAATAGAACTACTACAGAAAAAAGGGGAATTTAATATTTTATAACCTAGATCTTTTTAAAATATAATATTTATCTTCATATTCAATTATAATAAAGATATAAAATCATCTAGTAAACTCATTTAGCAATTTAATAAATGAGTTTTATTATAAATCATAGATTTCTTTAGCCTAATATTACAAAATGATTAGATAACGAGGCAGAAATTAGAAAAATACAAGTTTCCTTTAATTTAGAAGATAACTTATTTAATTTTTTACTATAAAATATAGTTTCTTTTATATTTCATTTATATAATATCTCATATGATGAGTATTTTTCGAATTTATTATCCCAAAATACTAAATATTATTTTACTCTTTAATTTCGATTCTATTTTTGATTATCTTATTAACCAAAGGTTTCAAACTCTCAAGAATTTGTTATGCGGAATCAAATTCTGAGATTGAAAATTCAGGAAATTTAGGTAATTCAAGTTTAGATTCAATTTTATGAGTCACGTATTTAAAGGGAATAAGAAAAATAGAGTCAATAAATTTATCAATCTCAGCGAAAGAAGACTAGAAAATAATAGAAAATGAAAATTACTTCTATTTGATACCCTATTTCCAAGAAGCTTTTTTCAATTTTAGACATTGTGTATTGGATGATTTATGATGAGGATGATTGTTGAGCTTGCATATATTTATATGATATTTTTAATTATGTTTTTAATAATTGGAAATATTTAACATATACCTATCCCTAATTTATATAAAAGAAATTTATAAATAATAGAATAAGATAGTTTGAAATTAAGAAATCTTGAAATTTTTTTTGATTCTAATATCAAAAATGATTGGATTGTTTATTGAATAGATTTTTTGTTTAGATTCAAGCCCAATTTATTATATGATTCTTTTTAATTTTATAATTAATAAAACTAAATATATAATGTAATTGAATGAAAAAAAATATTACATTAAGTTAATTTATAAGATTAACTAGTTTTGATATTAGAAAATAAAGTATAAGCAAAAAGAATAATCACACTATTTTACATATTTTGTAAAACTAATATATTATTTTAGCTTTTAAAGAGGAATGAGATATTAAAATATACATTGTAGAGAGCAAATTGTTATGTATAAAAGAACCTTCCCTTTTATTAATTGAGAAGACTGTAACATTTAAAGTTCAAATTTTAATATTTTCTAAATCAATTAGATTAATTGATTAACTAAAATATAATAGAGTTAAAATCACTTACACTTTAACATAAATTATTATAATATATTCATGAGGGTTGGCTGATTACAATAATTACAATTGTTTGAATAAAGAAACTGTAAATATTAATCTTTTTTGTTAATATTTGATGCTAATAGTTATAATAAATATCAATGAATGAGTTTGGAAATTTCATTATAATATGATAAATTTTAGAAAAAATTAATTTTTTTAATTGATGATTTTGGAAACAAACTAAAGGTTATTAATTAAACTCTGAAATTATTTGATTATGGCAGTTTATTATAATTAAATGTATATTAATAATTTAATAAGCTATTAATTTACTTAAAATCAAGGATTTCCTCATATTTTAAACATTATATTGTTTTAGATTATAGATTTAAATGCATTCTTGTAAAATATCAGCAATTTGAAACAGACCATAATCACTCTATATTTATAGTTCTATTAAAATTACTACTTTATTAATTTGACAAAAGATTAGTAAATAGGTTGCATATTATAGTCAAGGAATTTAAACCTCCAATAATAATATTAGAGGTTTAAAGGGAATCAGAATATAATTAACTATAAATTGAATATGGCACGAAAAAGGAAGAAGTTCATATAAATTTTTAAATACATTTAGAAAAATAAAGTATTAGACTAAAAGAATAAAATAGTTCTCATTATCAAAATTGAAAAAAGGTTAACTCATCTATAGGAGTGAAGAAGATAAATTATTCTAAGTTTTTAATCTATATTAAATTCTCAATCAATATAAATTGAAGTTATGAATATTGTGGTAATAAAATCAACTTCAAAAAGTTAAAGACTGATAGTTATATTTTGAAATTTAATAGGCATAATTAATGATAATATATCAAAAATGGAATATTTAATGATGTTCTATAATTATGTGAGACCAATAGAAGAAATTAAGGAGATATATTA